AAGCGTGCCTGCAGCAAATCTGAGGGCTAGCATATTTGTAGCATATACAGAGAATTTGGATCATGATGCTTCCAGGATCCTCTAAATTAAATCGGGAACCACTCTATTCCCTGGTGTACCCCAGAACAGTGAGGCTGCAGAGAAGGCTTAATTTGAACAAGAGCTACTACTTTTTGAGAAGCAAAGCACGCATCTCTCTCTTTTTTCTGCCACTAGTCTGAACACACTAAATTTGTTGCAAATTCTTTGCCTTCACCTAGACTGCTCAGATTCATGTGTTGGGTGACATGACACACACGTGCTCATTGTCCACAGTGAGTTACCCGGAGCGATTTTTCACGTGGTGTCCCTATGTTGAGTGTCATGTACCCACAAGGAATGTAAACCGAGTATAACAGCACTTTTAATGCAGGCTTGCTGCCACCTCAGGGTGCAAAAGCAACTGCTGGGGTTCACCCAGCTCCTCACCTGTCGACAGAATGCCCTCAGCCCGTGCAGCGTGAGTCCTGCTTCACAGCATGGCTGCTGTCAGGTTTATTAACCTGTATTTAGAGGGGTTGCCTTGAGCGTAAATGCTTCCTTTCAACTCTGCAGAGGAAGATGCCAGGGGACATTATTCCCTCTTCTCAGTGCAGAAAGAGGATGAGAAGACATTAAAGTCAAAGTTTTCCTAACCTTTTAACTTGCCTGTAAAATATAAGGGATCGAAAAGAACACAGGAACGGGAACTGCAAGAGTGAGAGATTGAAAATCTGCTGAGTGTTGTGGAAAAACAATTCACTTCAAGGAAATAGCCTCAAAGCCTAGGATTTTCTTGCATTCCTGAAGATTTTTCTTACCCTTTAATCAGAAAACAAGTCTGACAGGGTGGTTTATTAAATTTATTATTAAAAAAAAAAAAGTATATCACCTATTGAACTGTGCATGCTGTGAACAGTTCAATTGAAGATAATTGTATTCTCATTTTCACATCCATAAAATGCATTAATAATATGATTCACCTTGTAGCTAAACAGCAGACACAGAACCAAAGCGTAGCCTTCTAATCTGCCCTGCAGTAGCATTACTAAGTCAGTGTGTGGATCCTTTGGTACTGCAGCTCATTAGAACTGCAGATCAAGCTGTCACCATTAGAAAGTTATAAGCTGTAGCTCTCCGGGACAAACCACAAGCTGTCAGTAGAACTGCGTGCGCAGTGGCTTGTAATCGTACCATGAACAGGCAAATCAAGTCATTCTTCTATCAGATCTTGCTGGCCTGTGCCCTTTGTGTATTGAGAGGCGTGGCAGGTATCAGTTTAAAAATCTGTAGCTGTTTTATTTTATTTGATACTTAGGTATGTGAGAAGGAACCTTCTTTTTCTTTCTGACTGTGGACACATGGTTTCTGTGTCTGTAGAAGCTAGTTAATGAGCATGTTTCAACAGCATATTGATATTTGTTAAGCTGTATGTGCCTGTTGAATAAATGCTTTATGAATGGGGTACCAAAAAAAAAACAGTATAGAAGAAACTTGAGCCAAAGCTATCACCTGTTTTCACAGTGGAGTGCACTGCCGTGCTGCGGGCCAGCTGCCCTCTTGGTCTTCAGACCTGTTTCCTCCCTTTTGCAGGTTGAACAGCTTACAGAGTACCCTCTGAATGGCAGTTTAGAACAGCAAAAGAAGTCTGTGGGTTTCCCTTTGCCATCCAAGAGTTGACCAAAGTGCTGCAAGCATTCACAAGTAAAAATAATAGAGATAGATACCTCTGGCCAAAGGATTACTAACACATACAATTTATAAAGATTTATGTCTTAATTAGAGAGCTCTTCAAAATAACAAAAAAGGAGGAAAAAATTGTGAAGTTAATGTATTTCTGTCTGCAAGCATTTTTGTCAAAACATGAGTGTACACTTTTGTGCATTATAAAGCACAAGATTTTGTTACAATTTGAACAATGTCAGAGCTGTGAAGAAAACTCCTTGCAGATGAAGGACAGCCCATCTGAGTTTTGTAACAAGTCGCTTCAGCATTTCTTCAGCTAGGACTTCATTTTACACATTTTCAGGAGTTTCGTCTTTCCAAAAAGACAAGACATAGTAAACACTGCAGGGAATAGTAATTCTGGGAAATGTCTTTGAATGATTGGCCAGGATCCCTCAACATACCACCGGTTCTTTTGCCACATCAGTGTAGTCTTATTTATGTCACTGGAGACCCACCAGATTAGCTGACAGCCAAACGTGGCCCACTGCTATTGTTTGGTCTGTCTGGAGGCTACAAGTAGGATAACTCCGCAATAATTTACTCCATGTCTGCAGAAGAGAAAGCAATTGCCTTTGTTCTATGCTAAGAATTGGCCGATAGTTTTTCCCAAGGAAACTGAAAACATCATGTAATATCATGTGTACTCTTCTCCAAGAATGGAACTCACCTCTGTTGGGGTATCTGGTGGCTCTGAGTGAGCTGGAGCAGGGGGCACAGTGCTGGGTAGGGTCTGTGAAGGAAGAATCAAATGTTTCAATCAGATGAGGTGAGGGTTGACGGCAACGCTATTGAATGACAAGAGCAGACAGGGTGTACAGTGTCTGTGTAGTCACACAGACCTTTGGAGGACTGAACATTAGCTGGACTTAACACTGAAACGGTGGCCATTGGTGTCATTTAAACAAATTACTATGGAAAACCCTTTAAGCAGTGTCTGTGTCTAAAAAGCCGGTTACATCAGTGGCCACACTGATGTAAGTCCTAAGGTTGTTTACTACTTTACACATAGAAGACAGCAGTGCCTGATGGCAACAGTTAAACAATTTTGATTTTTTTTTCTTTTGTATCATCCTGTCAGCTAGTATCTTATAATTGATCTAGTTCAGAACGTCTTTTCTGTTTAGTACTTTTTTTTTTTCCCTCTGTCTCTAAAATACAGGTGGTCCGACCATACCAGACAATGTCCAATCCCATGAGTAAGCTGACAGTGCTCAACAGTATGCATTCTCATTTTATTTTGGCTGACAATGGCACTACTGGTAAATATGGAGCAGAGGTGAAACTTCGTAGACAGCTGGAAAAGCACATTTCACTTCAGAAGATAAATACAAGTGAGTAACATTTTGCTTGTATTGTTTTATAATTGCAATTATATCAAATACACTATGAGTTTAAATAGACAATAAGGTCTGCATATTTTGGGCAGTAGTTCTACTGTTTAAAGTGGCAAGCACAAGCTATAACGGTGAATAAAGACAATAAAATCTGATTTTACAGCTGAATTTGTTTCTGCTAAGTTTCAAACAATATTTTTCAAACCTCTTCAGGTTCAGCTTAGGTCTTTGGTATCTCCTCATTAAAACTGTATACAGTTCTGGTCCCCTCTGTTTTGTAAAGAATACAGTGGAATGAGAAAATGTTAACAAAAAGTACAGGAGAGCTTTTTGTGATAAAGATTTTGCAGGCTGGAAGAGAGATGACTGAGGTGTATAGAGGTATATAAAGTCCTGCATGGCTGCAGAAGAAATGACTGGACAACTCAAGCAGTTCCAGAGCCATTGATATTTAGAGACGGAGAGAGTATTCAATAGAAATGTTACTATATGTGCACTGTGTTTATTAGTTTTACCTATGCAGCTGTCATTAGCCACAGCCAGAGGCAAAATATGAGGTTAGATGACTGAGGTGTATAGAGGTATATAAAGTCCTGCATGGCTGCAGAAGAAATGACTGGACAACTCAAGCAGTTCCAGAGCCATTGATATTTAGAGACGGAGAGAGTATTCAATAGAAATGTTACTATATGTGCACTGTGTTTATTAGTTTTACCTATGCAGCTGTCATTAGCCACAGCCAGAGGCAAAATATGAGGTTAGATGGTCACAGAATCATAGAATGGTTTAGGTTGGAGGGACCTTGAAGATCATCTAGTTCCAGCCCCCTGCCATAGGCAGGGACAGCTAATATCTGATCTACATCTCCCCTCTTCCAGTTTGAAGCCATTCCCCCTCGTCCTATCACTACATGCCCTTGTAACAAGTCGTTCCCCAGCTCTCCTATAGGCCCCCTTTAGGTACTGGAAGGCTGCAATAAGGTCTACCTGGAGCCTTCTCTTCTCCAGCCTGACCAACCTGAACTCTCTCAGGCTCTCCTCGTAGGAAAGGTGCTCCAGCCCTCTGATCGTCTTCGTGGCCCTCCTCTCAACCCACTCCAACAGGTCCATGTCTTTCCTATTTTGGGGGCTCCGGAGCTGGACGCAGTACTGCAGGTAGGGTCTCACCAGAGCAGAGTAGAAGGGAAGAATCACCTCCCTTGACCTGCTGGCCACACTTCTTCTGATGCAGCCCAGGATATGGTTGGCTTTCTGGGCTGCGACTGGGCATTGCCGGCTCATGTTGAGCTTCTCATCAACCAGAACCCCCAAGTCCTTCTCTTCAAGGCTGCTCTCCAGCCATTCTCCGCCAAGCCTGTATTTGTGCTTGGGATTCCTCCGACCCAGATGTAGGACCTTGCACTTGGCCTTGTTGAACTTCATAAGGTTGGCTTGGGCCCACCTCTCCAGCCTGTCCAGGTCCCTCTGGATGTCGTCCGTCCCCTCCAGCATGCCTACCTTACCACCCAGCTTGGTGTCATCGGCAAACTTGCTGAGGGTGCACTCGATCCCACTGTCCATGTCACCAACAAAAATGTTGAACAGCATAGGTCCCAGTACCAGCCCCTGAGGAACACCACTCATCACTGGTCTCCACTTGGACATTGAGCCATTGACCACAACTCTTTGAGTGTGACGGTCCAGCCAGTTCTTTATCCACTAAGTTGTCCATCTGTCAAATCCATGTTTCTCCAATTTAGAGACCAGGATTTCATGCGGGACAGTGTCAAACGCTTTTCACAGGTCCAGGTAGATGGCATCAGTTGCTCTTCCCTTGTCCACTACAGCTGTGACCCCCTCATAGAAGAACACCAAATTTGTCAGGCACGACTTGCCCTTGGTGAAGCCATGTTGGCTCCTACCAATCACCTCCTTTTTTTTCCATGTGCCTTAGCAGATTTTCCAGGAGGATCTGCTCCATGATCTTGCCAGGCACAGAGGTGAGACTTACTGGCCCGTAGTTCTCTGGGTCTTCCTTTATTCCCTTTTTGAAAATGTGGGTTATGTTTCTCCTTTTCCAGTCGACAGGAACCTCACCAGATTGCCACGACTTGTCAAATATGATGGCTAGTGGCTTAGCAACTTTCTCTGCCAGTTCCCTCAGGACCCACGGATGTATCTCATTAGGTCCCATGGACTTGTGCACATTCAGATTCCTTAGATGGTCTCGTACTTGATCTTCACCTACAATGGGAGGTTCTTCATCTTCACAGTCCTTGCCTTTGCCTTCTGCATTATGGGTATTGTGGCTGCAGTCTTTGCCAGTGAAGACTGAGGCAAAAAGTGCCTTTCAAAAAAGCCAAAAAAGTTCCTTTCACCTCATCTTCTACAATCATGATGGTACATTCCACATCACGATCATGCTGAAGCCCCATTTTTTCTCTCAGTTATAATCTTTTTTCTTTTATAATCATGTACCGCTTTCCTACATAAAATGACAAGTAAATAGTCACCTAAGTAAGCACTTCTGCTTGGGTAAAATAAAAGATGATATCGTAATATTGGTATTATTATTATTTCTATAGTATACAGATGCTTAATTTAGATGGGGAGTTAATTTCTTTCTAAATATTTTGGATGGTTTTTTGCTTCTGTTTGCAATCATTTAGTTTTTAGACACTTAGTGCTATTAAAAGAAAAAAAGATCAGCTCTGGAAATTGAACCTAGGCCACACACAGGGAAGAAATCTTCCTTTGGATGTTAGCCAGGCAGGAATTTTTTTAGTCTCACAAACAAACCTCAGTGTTGTACCTGCATAAGCTACCTTTAGGAATGAAAACAGAGCTCATTTTTCAAAAGTGATAATATGCACAGCCTTTCTACTAATAACTCTCTGTAAATATGCAATCCTGAGGCCAGGAACAGTCACGGGTTTTGTGATATAGGCACCTGAAACTGGAATGAGACTAGGAAACACATTTAGACTCTCAGACATCAGATGATAGTGAATTACAGGCAGGCCTAATGGGGTGAACATAAACTAGCATGTTGGTTGTGCTTGATAAAGCTTTCTCTATGATAAGTATGGTCTGTGCTTAAATTAAAATGGTGTGCTACTTACACCTTTCAACACCACAGCATGGGCTACACACACTACGGGATTATTGTTTTACAATATCAGAGTGTATATTGCTTTTTCTCAGACAGCAGTGTGTAGGTATGCACAAATGTGTAATCATCCTAAGCAGCATCCTTAGCACATGGAGACAGTGTGATCTAATCTTAGGCTGACCAGCAACAAAAATTCACATTTGAAAATGGCATATGTCATGTAATCAAACAGGAAAACTGTACTGTAAATAATAATTATTTGTAAGAAAAATGTAAGCTTTTGCAGTTTACAGCACAACATTGTGCTGGGGAAATCTTTATGTTAAAAAAATAAATGTCTTTAGAGAGATTTAACTTAATTCAGGTTTGGACAAGAGGTTTATCTGTTGAAAAGTGATTGATGGATGCACTTGTGAACTTTGGTGGTTCAAGTCAAACGCATGCCTGACCTCTTCAAACACCTACAAAAAATGAAGGCTTTCTCTTCTTTGGTTTCCTTCTGCAGCTGCGCACCCCCCTCAGGAGTATGTCTCTTCCTTTTCTCTTCCTTTTTCTCTGTGACAGAGTCACTCTATCATTTAAGCTCTCCTTCCCAAATCTCTCCCTTATAAATACAAAAACACTTGGGTCTCACAACACTTCTTCAAAACAGAAATGTGACAGAACTGTTAAGAAGGAAGGTTGCTGATAAGATTTGTACATCTTGGTCCAGTGACATCCAGAATGTTTCTGCCACGTTTTGTTTTCCTTTGGTTTAAAAGAAGGTGACTGAGTCCTGCCCAGCCTGTAGTTAATAGAAAGGTGACCATATGGATGAGAGAAGGACCACCTGCCCTGTTGGGTCAGCCAAACAGATGGCCACTTTCTGATACCTTTCCTTACCCTCATTCCTAGCAGAGCAGTGGAGATCCCTGGCCCTGTGTGTGCAGGGGCACTGCTGCAAAGCGATCTTCATCCAAACAGGAGTGTGTGCAGCCATTTTCCAGTAGTAAGCATGTGGAGTAGGGAAAAACAGCCTCAGACTTTTCTTTGCTGGGGTGTCAGGAAAAGGTACAATTTTTAGTTCATCACCAAAAAAAAAAGAGCAGAGGGCTAGAAAACAGAACAGATGTAGGAACTAGTAAACAATTGGTAACTTCTTATTTCACAGCCTGTCCCTGGACAATAGTGCTGAAAGTAGATCTTATTCTTATTTTTAAGCCTGCCTGACTCTCACATGCTAGGCTTGTCATTTCTTCTTATTTACTTTCGTTTGCTTCGACTGTATCTTTCTCCAGAGTAGTGATAGCTCTCCTGGATGTTTGGGATCACACACTATTCACAAAGGGAAACTTCAAGCTTGTATTCACCTAATACAGAAGGACACAGAAAACACAGACACAGAAAACAGTATTGCCTTCAAATAGATTAGGACAGTGGCAGTCTCTTTCGTAAAATTTAGGATTAAATTAGGTCATTAAGTATGCTGGATAATTCTGAAAGTCTCAGCTGGTTTTGTTCTTAATATGGCATCACTTTCAGTTGTTCAGTAGTATCTTATTTCCTAAATGAAATAATAAAAAACTTGCCTTATGCCCCCTGTGAACACTAGAGAAAAGATTTCATTGAATACTCTGTTTCCGCTCTACCTTTTTTGCTTTTACCATTTCCATAGCTCTTTTTTTATCCACACCAAATATTCAGAAATTAAAAATTGCTTTCCAGGCAAGCAGAGAAATACAGTTGCATGTGTGGGTCAGTTTGAGTCTGCAGGCTCAGAACAGAGTTACTCAGTTGTGCGTTCATCTAGAGGTCAATTTGATGCTTCAATGCTCAGGGCACAGTCTTTCTTATTTTCACAAGTGAAGACTATTTCAACACAGCCTGGCAACTGTCTCTTGCAGTGAGCCACAAGTTGTCTCAAACTC